AAATTAGTAGCTGGTTGACAATGAAGACATAATAATATTATAAAAATAAAGATAAAAAAATTGATATAACTACATGCCACTACTTAGATAGCACCTGAGTTAAACATAAACAGTAAACATTAGGATTTTAAATGTTAGCCACATAGAAAAAGAATAGACGTCTATTTCTTTTTTGGCGTGTTTTTGTCTTATAATTATTTATTTAAATTGTTAATAAATAATTAACAATTTATTAATCAGTGTTTGTATTCAGAAACAAATCTGGCTAATATCATGGTGCTGCCTTTAATCCCAGCACTCTGGAGGTAGATGCAGGCAGTTTGCTGTGACATCTTGGCCAGCCTGTTCTACATAGTGAGTTCCAGGCCAACTGGGGTGACAGGGAGACTCTATGTCAAAAAAAAAAAAAAAAAAAAAAAAAAAATACTAGTTTATCCAATGCAATTAAAATAATTCATTGCCGTATGCAATTTTAAACTATATTCTAGGTAGTAAAATTAATATCATTTGTACATTAGGTTTGACGTAGAAATACTCTTTATTTCAAGTAATTTTTAAATATTTTATCCTAAGATGAACCTATTAAGTACAGAATCAGAAAAGATATAGATATGAACCTTATACTATGTTAGTAGAGGAGCCTGTGAAAATTGCTCCATTCGTATATCAGGTTCAAATGTAATAGAGGTAGATGTTGCTAATGTATGAAAATTTTTTTTGAAAAATTTGGAGTTGGAGAGTTGACTCACTGGGTCAATGCTCTTGTCAATGAAGCTGAAGAGCTGAGAGTTTAATACCCAGCACCCACAAGATAGAAGGAAAGAACCATCTCCCACAAACTGTCTTCTGAACTCAACATGTACCTCCTGACACATGAGCACACACATATGTATTCATGCAACATACACACATTGATTCATTAATTAATTAAAAGAAAACTTTTTACAATTATAAATGTTATTTCTTTACTAATGGAAAATACAGATGTGTATCAGTTAATTTTTTATCACTGTAGTCAGATGGTTCTGAAAGTCAATTTTCTTGTATGTGTGGATCTGAATATAGAGGGACATTCCCTGAAATTTTTTGGGTCTTGTGCTCCAGAATAGAGAACTGGCCTAGGGACACATGCAAAGTGGGATTGAGAGTAGAGACAGGTCCAGTACTCAAAAGCCCCATGCCAGAGCAACACAGCCTTTTACAGGTTTTTAATCTAGTGTCTGCTCTCCTCTGGAACCTCACAGGGTTTTTTCTGCTGTTTTGTGAGCACGCTCTGCTCTGTTACATGTAACCCTAATGGGAAGGGGTTTCCAGTCTTCCTGCTCCATGAATTTGATCATGTTAATCTTTTTTTAAAAAAAATATATATATATATATGAGTTTATTGCCTACATGTATGTAAGTGCACCCGTGTCATGCAACACCCTGGAAAGTGAGAACAGGGCATCAAATCCCCTGAAACTGGAGTTATGGATGAATTTTAACAACCATGTGGGTACTGGGAACTGAACCAGGGTCCTCTGCAAGAGAAGCCAGTGCTCTTAAGTGCTGAGCCATATCTCCAGCACCTTATCATGTTAACCTTGATACTTCATTTTCCATATCCTATTCTCCTACCTCAAGACCAATAAGTGCTCATAGTATAAATAAACACATGATGAAAAATGCCTATAGTATTAGTATACAGACTTCAAGTGGGATGATGTTTTATGTGGAGTCTACCCTTTCTGTGTTTCAAATCTATATCGATTTTACTTTTTAAAATGGAGTGAAATAATATCATGTCCCAATATCATGTTCCAAACTTCAGTTAGCATTGTATTAACTTCAAATGTATAAATTCATATGTTGCAGCTAGCTCTCCACAGAACACTACATAGTCCATTATTACATATGATTAAGTAATCAGTTATGTGTGACATTTACTGGTGACTGTTGGTCAGTTCAACCATAACTTACAAAACGATTTGCTCTTTTTTATTCCCGTGTTTAAAAAAATACATAACTATCTTTAAAGCAAAACAGAAAGGAAAATTTGTGAATTACATAAGGATAAAATCATAGCAAAGAAACAAGGACTGATATAACGTTAAAAGTAAATTGGAAAATGGTTGTGATTCAAAGGATGAAATATCCAACAGGAAAATAAATGCTTGCATTAAGGAATTATTTGATCCTGGGTATAGCAGTGAATGCATAAAATCCCAGCTCTCAGTGGATGGAGGCAGCAGGATCATTCCTTTGCATTCTGTGTGACGAGGCTTTCCATTTCATGCCATTCTGCTACTGAACAAGACTTAGACACAAAACACAACTAAACAAAAATGACTCTCAGAGTTATTTCCTACACTGAAAGTGCAAAGATAAATCTGTTGAATCCAAAGTACCTTAGAAAAGAGCATGTCCTTTCACCAACACATAGAAAACATGATAGATTCTTGCACTCAGTCAGAAGCTCTGTAGGAAGCAAAAAGCACCCTGTAAAGGATACAGTATTTTATGTTTCATAAAAAACCAAACAGAACAAAAAAAAAAAAAACACTGTTAATAGGTGTAGCAATTTCCATTTCAGTGAGCTAAAATTGGGCATGTTATTACATCTTGGCAATAAGAGAGTTTTTATGTTTTCAATCATTATTTTAAAATTGGAATAACTAAATTTTCCTAGGTGACCATTAAGATCACTGAAGAAGCTTTCAGTTTGCATAGCCTGTGTATTAGTCAGGGTTCTCCACAGAAACAGAACATGTAGGATGCATAGAGATTTATCAGCTTAGCTCACAGGATAGAGTCCAAGTAGTCCAACAATGGCTGCAGCACATTGGAGAGGCTGAGGATCCCTAGTCACTCAGTCCAAGAGGCTGGATGTCTCAGTAGTCCCAATCTGGCACTGAAGGTCTGGCGAATTCCAAAAGATCAGCTGGTCTTCAGTCTACAGCAGCAAGACGAACCCACCAGAGAGAGAGAAGGCAAGCAGCAAGAAGCCAGGCGTTCTCCTCTGCCATAGTCTTTTATATGGGCTGCCATCAGAAGGTAACACCCACATTTAGGGTGTGTCTTCCAGCTTCAGATGATCCAATCAAGATCTCTCTCATTTCAGTTAATCCCAGATCCAGTCAAGTTGACACCCAGGATTAGCCATCACAGCCTATTTGAAAGATTTTGTGCTAAAGTGAAAAATACTTTGAATCCCGTTCTGACTTGTCTTGCAAAAACAATCAAAATCAATGTTCCATATGTTCATCAGTGTGGAGAATCCCTATTATTTCATTAAAGGGAATAACACTTGAGTGGACATTTACTTGAGATGTTTATTTGGACATAGTCAAGGATTTTTTAAAAATAATGATGGAATAAAACATAGTCCCATACAAATTAACAGAATTAACATACAAAATTCTTGAGGATAGGTCTATGCTCACTGTCTTATGCTTTAGAATACTCAGAATCCCTCTTTTCTGTTCTGCTGCATATTCAGGTTTACAGGTCAAAGCCCAGTATGCTAAAAGGAGTCCTCTCTAATCTCTGATCACAACAAATCCATCTCTATGGTTAGTGCAATAGTACTACATTGCTCCCCTTGGTAGCACATATCAAGGTTACCAGTTTTCATTACTATCATTAGCTTTTGTTTCCCAGTAAGACTAAGCAGTTTTAGGTAAGACACACATATAGGCTAACTTATAATTTGTCACAGCCATGCAGTAGAAAATTCCTAATAATAATTGTTGAATGAATGAATCTATGGTCAACAGCAAACACAAAATCAATGATAGGCATAAATATTACTCAACTATTATGATAGAAAGAACTTTCAGTTATAGAGGAGGGATGTGAAGTTATACTGTCAAATGTTGAATGTTTGTGATACTTGATGAAATTTTAATATACTGATTTTCCATTTATATATTTTCTGTTTTTAATGATTCTCTATTAACATATTTGTTTTATAATTTGTTATGTGTGTTGAAAGAAACAAACATCCTCTCCCACTTTCTCTCTCTCATTCTCTCTCTCTCTCTCATGTATGAAGGCATATACGTCTTTAGGTATATATTTTAAATATATGTGTAGGCAAAATTCTTGTAAAATCTGTAGCCAAAATATATTTCTACTGAAAGAAAATAAACTGCATTATTTAACAAGATACCCAAAGTAACAATAATTAGCATACAAAAATTACTATTTTCAGTTTGAAAATCTTAAAATCCTCTGATTTTAATATATTTGAATTTACAAAGTTGCTTTTATTTTTTTTAACAATGTCTTTATTGATTCTTTGAGAATTTCATACACTGTATTCAAACCCATCTGTCATCTCCTCCCAGACACACCTTCACCTACTTACCCAGTCAACTTGGTGTCCCTTTTTTTTCTATGGTTTTTTAAAGCCCAAATAAACTTTGGTAAGGGTCCACCAATAGACCATGGTCAACCTACCAGTAGTCATATTTTTAATATGAGTGACTCTCCCGCTTCCAACAGCTGCCCATTGTCTATAGATCTGCAAATCCTCTGTTCTTTTAAAAAAATTAAACTTATTTTAATTAATTATATTTTATTTAATATATTTTAGATATTATTTTCAATAAGTGTCAATTTTACAGAAATAAAGCAATATTTAATATTGTAAGAACAAGCGAGTCCTGCCCTAGAATGGTGGTTCTTCACAGATACAGGGAAGAATGTTTCATAGTATTGAGAAAGTTTGTCTGTGCTGTATTTAAGCTCAACAATGCAAGTTTTACAATTTATTTTTGTGTATTCTGACCTCTGCACGTAGCAGGATGTCATTGCATGATCCGTTTTATACATATATATATACATATATATATAGTGTGTGTGTTGGATTTAATTTAATAAACAAAAAAACGCACATGGTATAAAGACTGTGCATACCAAACATCATGATCTGAGTTCAGTCCCCACAACTTCCATGCTGCAGTTTTTCTTTGATATTCACACTCACTCCATGACATGAGTGTTTCCACCCAAACATACACACACACACACACACACACACACACACACACGCACACACACAAATCAATAAATTTAAAAATGCCTCATGCAGTTGTTCTATGACAAATATGAAGACCAGAGAAATGCACATTAAAGGCAAAGTAGTGAAGTTAAACTATTAAAATTATAAATTAAATAGATAAAAATATAAGAAAATAGAATGTT